GAGGGTCGTTTGACATCGGGCACCAATTATTATATACTGACAACATTTTAAAATGCAACATTTAGATAAACAGCCAGTTTATCTTAAACGTACACAATTTTTGAAAAAAAATTGGGTAGATTGGCAATGGTGTTTGGCTACACAACACTCCATCTTCCATGAACCCATGCTGCTACTCTTGGCAGGGGCGAAGGCTGGCTTGTTTGACAGGGTAATCAAAGTGAAACGGGACCAGATATGGCCTGTAGATATCACACAAGAATCTTACTCGAGGCGGCGACTCTTGAGTTGTAAATGAAAACAAATCCGGAATTCATATTGTATGTTCAACCGCCAAAATAATCGGGAAAGTATCTTATTAAATATCAGTTCCAACTAAAATTAAATTTAACTTTAGATGTGAATACATAAACACAAAGCAAAGAAGCAGAGACGTCAGTACTAGATCTATATGTTATAGATCTACCAGTGAGTCTAACTCTTTGGTAGAACATGACAATTATCATTTTTTAAATTTTACATTTGGCTGTTTTTGTTAGCCTTCCGCGGCCAGGAGCTGGTGTCATCATCGAGGTCACGATCTGATTATAGGACGGTAAAAAGTCGAGGAAAAAAAGCAAGTACTTGCAACAGTAAAGAGATTGTTAGGAGTTAGTTCCCCTCACATTTGTGAGGTAGACTCGACCAGTGTTAGTTAGCTTACATAATCAGGGCTTGAGATTGATTTTAACTGTGACCCCAAAGGGGTGAACAGGGTATATGTGGCAATGAAACAGCTTAGACTGCTATGCACATGTTCCCTTCAACTATATTGGTGGACTCTTCCAGCCTCACTTTAAGCTTACTTAATCAAAGCTTGCGACTGCTTATGGAGTGGCCCGAGAGGGGTGAGGAGGCTATTTCTGTGGCCGTGAAACCGTTTTGAATGTTAGGCATACTGTTCATTGTTGATTACGAACGTCTTTTGACATTTAATTTAAGAGGTTTACGTTTATGGATGAATTTGACAGCGACAATGTTTCAAAATTAGGAAGGGAAGCAGTGATTATTTGATTATATAGACGCTTCGCCCCTGCTTGGACATGTTGTTTGGCATCGGTTCCACAAATGAGACAGAATATCATACCGGTTCTATTGGTGGGTAGTTACGCCTGGTTATATTCTCTCACCCCGACAGCGTCGACAGTTGTTCTTTTCCGTTCAGCCAGCCTTGAAGGTGTGCTATAGTTGCAGATGAAGCTTTAGTAAAACTTCTTGTATGTTTGGATGAAGAGTGGAGGGCAATACCACTTCCCAACATTCGTCGTCTCATCGCCTCCATGCCTAGAAGATGTCAAGCGGTACTCCAGTCAGCAGGAGGCCACACCCGCTATGAATGGCCGCCCTTTGGATAGATGGATTATTGATTGTTCAAAATCTATTCAATTCTGTTGATAATCAATAAACAGCAATGAATAAAATTTCAAAATGTATTTTCTTTCCTTCACTTATATCAAATGTTATTCAGTGCTAAATATACGATTATACACGATGGCCAATTTGGCTATGCGTTTCTTTTTTTGAACAGTATATTAAATTGACTGTTCAAGACAGTCTTAATATCCTTCAATAAAGTAAGCAGTTGAGAAGCCAAATTGGCATCTTTAGAGGCTTCCTTTTTGCGCCCTGTGGACAGTTTGTGAAATCGCCGGCGAGGATGGCGCGGTGTTCGCGCGAAGTTGTTCATCCTGACAGGAGGCGGGGACAACAAGGTTGCGAGTCACCGTTAATAAAACAGAGAGGAAGGAAAGAGAATCTGTAGGGCAACAATTTATTAGTGTACTCCTATCGTCTTTTTGGGGGCCCTGAAAATTTGCAAAGTGCTTTATTGAATGTTGACAAAAAATATTAGTTTACATTTAGGCCCTACTGGAAACTGGATGGAAATTATGATCTGCTATAAATCTCTTGTATACTGTCAAGGCGATAAAAAATGACAGCCCCAGATCAAGATAGAATTGCTTTTATTGTGTTCATATCTTCCTTTATGTAGTAGTAGTAGTAGTATGGGGTTTTACGGCGCTCGCAACTGCTAAGGTCATATGAGCGCGCGAATCTTCCTTTATATTCATTTTTATATTCATTTTTAGATGTCCAAATGGAAAAGTGCATCCAACAGATAAACATACATTAAAACATACCAATATTTTTTTTTTAAATGGTGATGCCCCCTTTTCTGGGACAAAATTAAATAATACGGTCAAACAAAAATATTGAATACATAGAATTTGGCTCCAAAATTGTCGGTCGTTTGGCCCACCCCAGAACCGTACCTGGCAACCTAGGTCAACATTGGTTATAGATAAAGAATGTGTGGCGCAGTGGCTGCTTGGAATGTGTGACTGTGTGTGATGCAATGAGACACACACCAGGAATGTCGGTTCAAACATCGCGCGCTGGGGCTAAAAATAACCACAACAACAAGAGTGTATCAGGTCAGCCGTACGATAGGCCTGGCCAATGACTGGGCCTGGCTGTGTCTTACCTCGGCGGTTGTAAAACCAGTTAGTTGTGACGGGCTTATGGGTAGAGGTGGGCTAAATCCGGATAAAGTATCCGGTAACCGGATAATTCTCTATGAAACATTATCCGAACTCAGACTCCTTACTCTCTTTCCTGACCTGTTGGCCGATGTCGGTGCATCATAGCGCCATGGGGTGCACCCATTTGTTGAAGCGGTGCTAACCCGTTTGTCGAAGTGGTTCTATCTAACCCATTTGCCGAATCGATTCATAACATAAGAGACACACTAACATATGTGAGGCGTGCTGACAAAATGAGTTACTTCTCACGATCCACAAATGGAGATATTGGGGGGAAAAAATCAACACTAGGGTCACATTTGGAGATTTTCTATTGATGCCATATTCTTTATGTGTTAATATGTCTGTTATTTTTTCATACTTATGTATTTTAAAAACGTATACGTG